TTCAGAGGACATGCACAGGCAAACTGTTGATACCTATGTCTTCTACGATAATTTATCTACACAACCATATATGGCATGCACGTCTTTATTTTCTTTTATCTCCGTAAACAACGTCAAAACTCTGCTCGGCGAGTGGAAAAGTCGAATTTAACCATGAAATGGTATGTGCTAATCCCGGGCAAAGATTTTGATTGGCTAAAAATCTGTTTCTAAAATTACATCATAAAAATATTGTAGTGTTTTTATGGAAAATGAGAGGTAAACAAATTTTTATTTATTCACTGCAATATTTAAACACTGGGATTGAATTTTCAAACCCACTCATTTTTTTTTAATTTTGCTCTCTACCTTGTGTTATTATTATTCTATGGATCAAAAATTTATTACAGAAACAAGTGCCTGTGGCCAGTACCCGTAGAGGAATTGGCTTCACTCCCGTAAGGTTCTAAGTAAAGAAGGAAGAAGACATCATGATCTGGACTGGTTTTCATTTCGTAAAAATAAAAAACCCATGGTATTATAGAAGAAATGAGAAAGGTCCTGAAATTGATTGAAAAGTAAAACTGTAAACGATTTTAAAACTGTACATGAAGATGTATTTTAAACTCATTCATAATATATGGTAAGACCATCATCGCAAGTGAGTTTCGTCCCGGAAGGGGGAGGGTATTAGTATCTTGTTTTGCTCTAGCTATAAAGTGTACAGGCCATTTACTTTGCGTCGTAGAGCAGCATTGAAGCATTTTCGTCTCAAACACTTCAAGACAACTTTCCTAGTTAAAACTGTTCGCAATTTACTTCGTCGTCGATAACGAACAGACCAATCTATAAATAGAGGCCGTCTCATCAACCTATCACTGACCAGAGAGTGTGCATGAAGAAGCATGCCCTCTAGTAAGATAGTATGAATTTGTTTAGAACGACTCGTCTAACTATTTTCCCAGAATTCCAATCTACGCAAGTTTCCTCCCAACGTAACTAGTCAGCCCCACTCCTCGGGTGGCTCGTACCTCACACACTAACCTTGGACGTAAACGGTGTTCTACCATTTTGCTGATACAGCCATGTGATCTTATTTGAAATTCCTCCAAATGTCATACCTTTGAAATCTGAGTTACTTTGTGGCACGCCCAACACTGTTTTTACTTCCAAAGACTACTAACATAAGGTTGAAATCAAAACCAATATACAAGGAAAAATTAGACAAGTTAAAAAAAAAACTTTTTGAAGAACTTTATGCAGAGCGAAATATAAAATGAGTTACAAGGCAGTTTCCGGCGGAGAAATGTATTGATTTGATGCATATTCCTCCACCAATCACATCCTAGGTTTGTATGGAGCGTAGCGGAGTAAGCCGAGGATTGCCGATTGAGTCAGCCCGTGGGCCAACTAATAAATGACCAAACAGTAGCATGTCTTAGATATTCTTTAACCTGTAATATTTAGTTATGACATTTGAGAAAGTCAATTGTACATCTTGTGTAATGAAGTATTGCAACTATGTCGCTCCTTGATGGCGGAAACATTTAGCACTTCTCTTGCTTATTCGTTTAATAGATATTTTTGAAAAACTGTTATTTGTCAAATGTATAAATTCCCAGTACCTTAAGAGTTAAATTAATTCCGCTTTCTTATGAGCAGATATGTTAGACAAAAAGCTCTCTGACTTCCCCAAATTTGGTTTTTATATCAACTTTGTTTTCAATAAAGAGAATCCCCAACCAACTGTTTTATATTTTAAAAAATGGCTTAATGATTCCCTTTATTGATAACACACTGAAGGCTATCTTTAAAAAAATTGTTGTCCCCCGCTTTCACTGAAATTGGGGGATATTAATTTGTGTCCGTCCGTCCGTCTGTATTTCTGTCTGTATGTAACACTTTCGTTTCCGCGCGATATCTCGAGAACGCTTTGAGCTTTCGCAATTAAATTTCGCAAAACAACTCCCTGTGGCCTAAGAAAGACCCCTATTGATTTTGAGGTCAAAAGGGCAAAGGTCAAGGTCATAAATTCATAAATTCTGTCTGTTTTAACACTTTTCGCGCGATATCTCGGGAATCCTTTGAACTTTTGCAATTAAATTTTACAAGACAACTTCCTGTGACCTTAGAAAAACCCCTATTGATTTTGAAGTCAAAAGGTAAAAGTTCAAGGTCGTCAACTCAGACATTCTGTCTGTGTGTAACATTTTCGTTTCCGGACGATATCTCAAGAAGCTTTTGAGCTTTTGCAATGAAATTTTATACTGTAACTCCCTATGGCCTCTCTCGCTCCTCTCAAAGTGCCCCGCCCTTTTTTTTAGTTATTGTATAAAAGTCGCTTGGCAATATTTTTAGCACAGGCGCATGTGGATAGTTATTACATATAATACAGGTAATCGGCGGAATTTATATTCTAATTACATCTATTAGAACTGTTTAGTAAAGGCTAAATGAGACATCATATGTATTGTGTAAAATTTTGACAATATCGAAAGTGAATATAAACATTATATGTGACCTAATGTTTGCATTTAATTTGATGTATAAACAAGTGCCTCTGTGGTATAGGGGTATGATTCTTGCTGAGCAAGTGAGAGGTCCCGGGTTCAAATCCGAGACGATCCCTTTTTTGGGGGGTGGGTGGGTTACTAAATGATAGTATTCAACATATGAAATAAAAAAGTTATGACGTCTGGCGTGTACAAACTCATAAAATCATTATTACAGTGTGATAAATATTCTATATAAAAAGAATCTTCTATACACATATTAAAGAATAAGCAATCAAATCTTTATATCCATTTTGGCATTTTTTATTTGCTTCTATATACCTATATACATTTAATAATTCTACAAATCCAGGGGGAGGGAGACCGAACCCCCCCCCCCCCCGAACTGCACATGCTCTTCTTTTTTCCCTAAGCGGGGGACACAAATTCTCTGAATTCGCTTGTTCATCCTGAGTCGGGAGAGAGCAAACGAACATTATTTTAAAATTGGCCTAATATAAAAACTCATTAAGAGATCATTGGCCTAACTTACTGAACAGTGCCAGATAATGAAATCGAAGCAGAATCAGACAGCACGTAAGATTTTATACTGGTATCCGTACTGCATTATCTTTTTTCGACAGTTTTACCATACTGGATCAAAAAGTGAGGGAGGGGGCAACTGATTTTTCAATGAAAATTTTCCATTTTAAATATACAGCAAGACTATTTTCGGAAAAGGGGGGGGGGGGCACTACGTGCCTGCTTAGCCTCTCCAAATTTTTAACCCTGTATATACTATCTTCTAATATGTACGGACCGTTCACGGTAGCTCATTCGGTAGAGCGCTCGCTCCGTGATCGGGAGGTCGTGATTCGAATCTCGGCCGCGACTGACCTAATTCCTTAAAAAATGGGTAGCAACTGTTCCTTCGCAATGCGCTCGGCACTTTGAAGTGAAAGTTGCGGGTCCTTCGGATGAGACCTTAAAAACCGAGGCCCCGTGTGCAGACGTTGGCACGATGAAGATCGCTCACTGCTCAATGACCCTGAGTGCCGAGTAAAGGTCAAAATTTGAAGCCCTTCATCGGTATATGGTGACGTCTCTATATGAGTGAAAAATTCTCGAATGGGACGTAAAACAACAAACAATCAATCTAATAAGTATGTCCGGATAGGGCCATTTGCAACAAAAGCTCAACAGCGCCTTCAGAAAAACACGCCGTCGCGCTAACACACAACACGCCGTCACGCTAACACATCATTGAACAACACGCTGTCACGCTAACACAATTTCGCACAACACGTCGTCGCGCTAACACACAACTCGCCGTCGCGCTATCACAAAGTTGTGTTAGCGAGTTGTGTGATAGCGCGACAGCGTGTTGTGTAAAGTTGCGTTAGCGCGACGGCGTGTTGTGTGACAGCTCGACGGCGTGTTGTGTTAAGTTGTGTTAGCACAACAGCGTGTTGTTTGGAGCGTGTTAGCGCGATGGCGTGTTACGTATAAGCGCGATGACGTTTTTTGTATAAGCGCAATGACGTGTTTTGTATACTTGTGTTAGCGTGATGGCGTGTTGTGTGTTAGCGCGATGGCGTGTTTTTCTGAACGCGCTGTTGAGATTTTGCAAATTGCCCTATCCGGATACCATAAATAAGTAATACATGTAATATGTGACAACATTTAAAATAGCACTGCACATAAATGATATAATAAAGCAGTGATTTGCACTACGGAGATTTAAAAGAAAAAAGAACGAGCTTCACACAGACAATTTTGAACAGCATTTAAAAGACCAAGGCCTAGTTACTTAAATTTACACTGCATTCTATCAACAAAAGACAGGTAAAATGCATCGGAATTTCACAGGTGGGTCGTATTTTTGTTGTATGTACACTTCTATGTTAATGTAAGTGACCATATTATATAACGAGAAAAGAACATATTTACCACGATAATTTTAAAATTAAAACTAAAGTTGTTTTACAAATGCAATGTTGATTTCATGATGATCAGATTAGCTATTATACCATGATAAACCACTACAAAAGAGCTGAGCCATTTTATAATACTGAGTATCTCTGCGATTTTCCTCGGGATGAGTTTTGTTCCCCGCTTCTGTTCGTCCGTCCATGATGTCTCTAAAATCGTTAAGCTTTTGCATTGGAATTTTAGATCATAATCACTATGTTCTTTAAAAAAAAAGAACTCTATACATTATGAGGTCAATAGGATAAAGGCCGGGGTAAGATGTTGATACATGTATTGTTATACGTTTTTCAAGGTTCTGTACACAGCAATGTTTACTTAGCCTTTCGTGTTCCAGATAATGGAGCTGTCATCAATATGACGGAGTACGAAGTGCTGTACGTTGCTGCATTTCACATTCAATCGGACCGAACTAGTTTTGCTTTCTCATCATTGAAAAACGAAAAAACATTCTTCGAGTCATGTCCCTCTTCTCTGGTTTTATACCCAGATACTACTGTACATTCCTTTGGGAAATCAGCAGAAGACTTTGTTGCTACTTCCTTGGACCAAGGAATTAATATCAAGGATTATTACTTCTTTCCAAACTTAAGATGTCTTCAAACATGGGTAATTGAAATATACGTATTTGTTGCTCAACGACTGAAATTCAGCTATACTGATTGAAGTCTGTCCACCATCGTTTTAATTTATCATGCTTCGATATTTTCCAAAAAAAAAAAAACAACAAAAAAACATTGGGTTAACCAAACTTGATAAAGAATCCCTATGTAGTTAACTTTCAAAACTGTTCAAATCATGTTTCCCACAACAAGGGTTCAAAGATATACCAGTATCTATATATGCCTCTGGATTAAGTTGAAGCCACAGTACAGTTTTAAAGTTTTACAGAGTAATATTCAATAAAGATCTCCAAAAGGTAAAAAAGCTTATTTTTATACATTGCTGCAAGATTATTACTTATGAAATATGCAAACATCCCCAGTGAATGCAGGTACATGTATACTGTTGTTCAAATAAAAAAAAAACAAAAAAAAAAAAAAAACAAAAACAAAACCTAATGATAATTAAAATAAAAATAAATGACATTTTCACTAACATTTTGACCTTTTTGCTCTTAAAATCATTGTGTGGGGAGACAAAGGGGAAAATCATTATTAGGGGCCAAGAAAGGACAAACATTGTTTAGGGCCACAAAAAAGGGCGTTACATTAATTTTCATTTGCTTGAAAATCCATTCAAGATATAAATTTTTACATGTCATTTGTAAGATTGTTGGCTATAATTATTCCATAGAAGTATGTTTTCAATTTCATCTTATTTAGGAAGAAGAAATTGCAGACAGCTCAGGAAAACTGGTGGATAAAGAAATGGTTATGTCAAGAATCATACTTAGTTTTCTACAAGAATCTAATAAATTTCGAACGTTTTCACTCCTCCGTCAAGATGTTTTATTCAGCGATGTATTTCTAATTTTCACTTTGGAAGGAACAGATTTTTCCCGGATGACCAATCTTATAAAAAAATCAGTTGCAATGGTATGAATTCAAAATAGATATACACAATGCAATATCATCTCAGTTTCTCTACTCTTACTTTAAAGGAGGATTTTGTTTTACTTGTATTTTTTTTATCAGCTTAACCTCTGCAATGACATGGTGACCTACATCCCAGACTCCGTTGCGACAATGGAGTTTTGTAAAAATGATGCCAAGATAAGATCGCTAAATAATGCTTGGCCAATCGATTCACCAATCAAAGATTGGGTGGATTATGAAGAAGAAAAATTATATTTTGAAAACGCTGATCTCCTTGACCAAAGTGAATCAAAGAATGGAATGGAGAAAATTGCTGTCTTGAAAATAGAAAGTAAGATTTCTGTCTTAAAAATAGAGTGGTGTTTGGGAGTGGAAAGGGATAAAAAAAAAAATAGAGCGATGCTTGGGAGTGGAAAGGGATAGGAAAAAAAATATAGAGAGATGTTTGAGAGTGGAAAGGAATAGAAAAAAAATAGAGAGATGTTTGAGAGTGGAAAGGAATAGAAAAAAATAGAGAGATGTTTGAGAGTGGAAAGGGATAGAAAAAAAATAGAGAGATGTTTGAGAGTGGAAAGTGATAGAAAAAATAGAGAGATGTTTGAGAGTGGAAAGGAATAGAACAAAAAAAAAAAAAAAATAGACAGATGTTTGAGAGTGAAAAGGGATAGAAAAAAAATAGACAGATGTTTGAGAGTGGAAAGGGATAGAAAAAAATAGAGTTGAGAGTGGAAAGGGATAGAAAAAAAAAATAAAGAGATGTTTGAGAGTGGAAAGGGATAGAAAAAAATAGAGAGATGTTTGAGAGTGGAAAGGGATAGAAAAAAATAGAGAAATGTTTGAGATGGAAATGGATAGAACAAAAAAAATTGAAGTGTTTGAGAGTGGAAAGGGATAGAAAAAAAATAGAGAGATGTTTAAGAGTGGAAAGGGATAGAAAAAAAAATAGAGAGATGTTTGAGAGTGGAAAGGAATAGAACAAAAAAATAGAGAGATGATTGAGAGTGGAAAGGGATAGAAAAATTAAGAAAAAGTGAATACTACTCATGCATTGCTCTTATTATTTCACATCTTTAAACAGAGACCTATTCAGAAGTATCCATAGTGCAAGACGGATCCATCGAAGCTTTGAAAAGACGGCCCCATGAAAGTGCATTTGATTCCTTTTTGATATACTTAGCAGCTATTCTTAAAATTGATGATATATCAAAACTTCAGAGACAGGACAACACTGGCTTTCAAAAATTGCGGCGAAGATTTGAACATTGTTGCTTAGAATTCAAATCAAAACAGCCATTCCATATGGAAATTGATCTACCGATGGCATTCCGTGCACCCAGTTTTACAGAAGCTGTACCTCAGAAACAGATGCTTCCACTGTCAACAGAAGTCATTGAGGATATTTACAAATCTACCTTTCAAAGTTCCGTCTCTGTGTTTCTATCAATTGCAAAACTTCTATCAGGAACAGACAAAATAATAATAACAGGAGCGTCTGCGGATGATTTTATAGTCAACAAGCTGCAAGAAACTATTCGAGAAAAGTGTGACTGTGAAATTATTCAGATTGAAAACCCTTCAACGTGTGCATTAAATGGTGCAGTGCTTCGGGGTATAGAATGTTTGAAAACAGGAAATCATGTACATGATGAAGGTTTCTATACTTTTTGCATGAATAAAGTCGATATTCTAAAATAATTCGCCTTTTTTCATTTCACTATCTTTAATTTTTTCCATGTGATTTTTTTTTCAGATTGGGAAATATTTTCATACTCTGTCACAAATTCCAGAAGTAACACTGGTCTCAAACATCTACGCAGGGGACTGAGTGGTAAAGATATTTAATTTTTCCAGGAGTTTTTAAACACTGTTATCCATAGGTTTGATTTACTGTGTTTTCGGTTTTGTGTTTTCATACATATACTGTATTGTCGAAATTTCATTCAGATAGCACTGAAATTATTATGTCTCAGAAGCTAAATACAATGTGTACCTTTGTTTAGAAATGAAACACGAACCATTTACCTCCCTATTGCTTGATTACCTATTTGGAAAGGTCGGAAGGAAAGTACTGACAATGTCTGCAGGTATGTTACCCTTACAAATGAGCCTGTGGTAGTAAACAAGAGTGTTATTTTGATTGCTTCTAATAATCTATACTTATAAATTAATAAATTTTGCAAATAAACTCCGAAACGGGTGCATCAGAGTTCTTACTCACTCCTCTAACAAAACGCTATATACAAGATGATGTCCGTAAACTATATTTAGATTTCACTCGCATAGTAAGTGTCGTACATTAAATTAAAAGTCTACTTTTATTTTTATAAACAGTCATGAAATAGCAAAAACGTGAGTACGGTGGCGTTTCCGGTTGGCGGATCTAAGTTACTGTCAGTTTAATGAAACTGACAACAAGCAATCGTTTATTTATTTCATAAAACGCCATCACTTTATTATTTAATCAAAACTTGATTTAAATGATATAAAAGAAATAAGTTGTGATAACCGATTAAAATGGGAAATGTGCAAATTATTTTCGTCATTCGCCGATCTTAATATTGACGGAAGCTTCTAGAACATCAGATAGCATCGAGTCCGATATTAAAAAGAAAAATGAGGCGATTATAGCTGCACGAAAATAATGAATGGTCATTGAAATAATGTTAATCATTGATAACACTATAAATTGTGAATATATTTATATATCGAAAGACTATTACATATATGTAGTAGGTTTTTCTAATAAATTTATCGGTAAAATTTGTAAATTTATCGGTAAAATTTGTATTTTCCTTACTGAGAGCATCGTGGCAACGAACCCGAAGTACAATTTGTACTTCGTAATAAACTTTCTTACATGAAAAGAGAAAAAAGAGAAAATTAATGAATAAGATATTGTTCAAATATAATTAAAGCTGTAAAATTTTGTGCTTTAATTAATAAATTTCAGTTTTTTTTCTGAATACAGTCTTTTATATCAAATACTCGGCCTATTCTAGGGCGTTAAGCAGCTAATTTTTTACACAGGTACATGTACTTGGGTCTTGGTATAATATAAATATGTGTGTACCGGGTACCTTATTGATATGTAAAAAAGGTAAAGTACATTTTTTGCATATCAATAAGGTACATACATATTTATAAACCAAGACCCAAGTACCTGTGAATTTTTACCCCCCCCCCCCATCAATCTATCAGTAAAATGTGCATACATGTGTATTCGCTCCTTTTATCCTTAGCGGAAATGAAATAAGAGCATCTGAAGTACAATATCCATAACATTATATAACAGGTTTCACAATAAACGTCAATTAAATGAAATTGTTATTTTTCAAGTTTTTACAAAAAGGGGGTGGGGTGGAGACGTACATTTACTTCCTGTGTGATTTTGAACAAAGTATTTCTTCCTTCTATAAGCCTGTAGGCTGTCAGTAGAAACTACAATATATTTTCTGTCGGTTGCGTTATAAATTCAATTCCCTGCGCTTGCGCGGGATTTCATCTAGTACTAAAAATATGAAGCGCAGCGATTTTCTTTCAAACGTTTACCTGATCAATACAGAGGGCTCATGGTTGGTGTGACTGGTAGGCAAGGGACCGGCCAGTCACACAAACCTCTGGCATTTCCAGGGGCCCTTATTTTTTACTGGACTTTTATAATTACAGTTATGCCAAAAAAATGAGATTGATTACTGTTCGTTATCTTTAACTTTTTCAGAGTCTGCTTCATACTATAATCACCTGCATATGGTGTTTTTATCTCCCAACTGATTCGATACTCAGTAGCATGTTCTGAGTACAATCAATCTTTAAACATAGATATGCTACTGACAATTAAGTTGATATTACAGGGTTTCAACTATCTTGTTTAAAGTCAGCATTTGACAAATTATATGGTCGTTATAATGATCTTGTTTGCAAATACAACCTGTCGTTGTTTCGTATTTTGACTTACATGTTCCCCACCAATTGTTAGGTCTTTGTTTTTATATAATTTTAAATACGGATTACTCCGTTTACCTGATCAATACAGAAGGCTCACGGCGAATGTGACCGACAGGGGATGCTCACTCCTAAGCACCTTATCCCATCTCTGGTGATTCCACGGTACGTGTTTTCCCTGTGGGGTGTGTGTGTGAGTATTTGTGTGATGGTGTTTGTATAATGTGTGAATTAAAATTGAAAAGCCCACCCCTTTTACCTAAGTGTAATACGTATTTTTTTTTAGGATTTTCGAAAAAAAAATATAGTATCCCTATCTCTATGTACTTCCCCGTTCACGATTCGTATTTTTACTGGATTTATTAAACTAATCACTGTTCCTTAATGCCTCACATTTTTTTGAATGCATGGATAGCTAGGTGAAAGTCCATTGTCAAGTATCTGTCATTTTTTTGATTAATCTTGCATTGACGATGTTTCTAAAGATGCATACTTCGAAATTTTCAAAATTGCCTCGGTTGCCATAGATACAGACGAATGAATTAACTAGTAACAGTTAGCTCTTTTCTTTCAGGAGTTAGAAAGTTGTTACATGTTTGTGACTGACAGTGTGTTCTTGAGTGTGCTTTGTCCATATTTTCATTGCATTGTTTTCAACTTCAGTACCGCGGCGTTTGGGGCAGTTCGGGGAGACATACGCTATTGCTTGCAATAACAGACGTTCTAGTTATGTCGCCCCGAAAAAAAAGTCGGGGCGACATATTGTTATTGTCCCACCTGTAACTTTGTCCTAGCATTTTCTCGCAGATGGCTTGGCCATTCTTTAGGAAACTTTACCAACTCCAGATGTGCAATCAATACTTTAAATATTCAAAATGGCCAGTGTTGCCATGGAAACATGAACTTTAATGTCACCTGACCAGTTATGTTTGTTATTTTGTCCGACAATGTTCTCGGTCATGGCTAGGTCAATCTTAATGAAACTTTAGTCATGATGATCACCATTTCTGGTTGTGCAGTCACCATTTAGAATATCAAAATGGCCATCGTTAATATGGAAACAGGCGAAGAGTCTTTAATTTCATTTTTCTAAGAACTTTACAGCAATAATTTTGATACTTTAATTCGTCGAGGTGAGCTAAAAAAAAACTGGAGGCGGTTGCACACAGTTCCATAGAAACGAAACGCATATATTTCCAGAGGTTGCTTGAACAATCTTGATGAAACTTTACAGAAATTATTATATGAATCTCTAGCTGTGCAGTCAAAATTCAATATTTTCTTAATACCTACCGTTGTCATGAAAACAGATGATTCGATACGCAAGAGCATGCTCTACGTATGTACAATTTCTAAAACGAGGTAAATTATTGACAAACAAGT